TATATATATATATATATATATATATATATATATATATATATATATATATATATATATATTAGATGGTACTTTCTTTCATCATAGTTTTTGTAAAGTTGAAATATAGTTATCTAGATACTACTACAGCCGATAAAATCAAACAAAAGATTATTCCCGTTAATTTTGTGAATGCCCGGGAATGATCTCTTCCAAAGTTCGTTTATTCGATGGATACGAACTTTAGGCTTCAATCGAATTCACATTGAACTCAAATTTGTGAAGAAAATTGAAAATTTGTGTATTCTAAGTGATGACCATCCAAATTACCGAAGAATCACATAAATAAGAGCGCCAAACTCAAACGGGCTTCACAAGATGAGCCAAACATAAAAACTCAGATGTAAAATGTGAAGTTAAAGCAAAAAAGCGCAAAATTGTCCAAAAACATCTTCAAATGATGTTTTTAGGCCTAAAAAATCTTGCAGTCCCTTAGGGTCCAACCCACAGGGTGCTCCTCGTTTCATGCTGCAAATGGACGACTAGTGATGATTTTAAAATGGAATCGTGTAGCAAAAGGTATGTGTTTAATTGCGGCAATACCCTTTGTTAGCCTGGTTATGACCTCCGGAAACAATAGGGCGTGGTCCTTCATGCCAAGAGTGACATCAAATACTTAGCTCACTTATTTAAACACTTTTTGCATGGATTGTAGGAACACTTTACTACATTTTTTACAATCTAGGGTTAGTTGCAAAATTCTCAACTCAATCACAATTCAAGATCAAAGAATATTTAGTTCTCAGGGTGTCGCATCAACGGTTATGCTTTGTACTTTCAAAAACATATAAAAATTATCTGTTTAATTAATTTTTAGTATAGATTTAACTTTTTCGCAAAAAAAAAACCAAAATGAGCCAACCCCATATGTTCGGAAACTCAATAAAATGATCCAGCCACGTGAGTTTAGGCACTCGGTCAAAAGAAGTCAGTCTCGTGACTTGCCACAAAGACATCTCAATGTCTTGTTATATGCCCGCCATTCATTATCAATATTTCATCTATCTATCAATTAGGTTAGACAATATTCAATCACAATTCAATAATGAAAAATACTCAATTCTTAGGATGCCGCATCAATACTTATATATATATATATATATATATATATATATGTGTGTGTGTGTGTGTGTGTGTGTGTGTGTATGTATGTATGTATGTATGATTATTATGATGGATATTGACACTACTGATTAGGTTTTATAAAAAAAATAAGGGTTAAATGCATGAAATAGCAACCTACTTTCACAAAATTTCTTATTATAGTATTCTACTTTTGTTTTTCTTTATTACAGCAATGTACTTTCAAATTATTTTTTATTAAGGCATTGTACTTTAAAAAATCTACCCATAATAGCAATGGGTAACCTGTTACTTTTTAAACCGGTTAACCCTTTGACTTTTTTGCTTTTGTGGCTTTAATGAGGTGATGTGGATGACACATCATTTTGATGACTTAACTAAAATTAAAATAAAAACATATTTCAAATTATTATTAGTGATTTTCATTTTTCATTGCTATTATCTAAAAAAAACATTTTTTTTTACTTTTTCTTATTAAGTTGCATTTAAATTAAATATTCTTAGAGTAAAATATTTATTAAATAAATATGCAACATTATTTTCGAGATATATTTTATTTGTAAAAAATACAATTTTTTCTATTTTATGTTGTTCAAATAAATACATATCTTTTAAAGTTCTCTTTAAAATATTAACGAAATAAATTGTTATCTACAATTTTTTAATATTGTTATATTAATAAATACTTCAAAAAAATCTAATTAATTTAATATATTTATACGTCAAGTAAAAAGTTTTTAAACAAATATAATATATTCGTCAAGTAAAGATAATATTTTTTGTTAAAAAAGAACAATTCTTATTTTCTTTTTTTCAAAAAACACATATTTTTTTAAAAATATTAGCGAGATAAGTTGTGTTCTACTAGTTTTATTGATATTGGTATATTAATCAATAATTTAGAATTTTTTTAATTCATTTAATACATTTATCATGTAAAATATCTAAATATTAAAATTAAAAATACAGTGTTTAATAAGAACTAGTAGATGCTATAATAAAATAATTTTGAAAGTACAATGATGTAGTAAGAAAGTCACATCACTATAGTACATGTGGACAGCCTACATGGACAATGAGGTGGCATGGAAACCTAGTATAATGGGTAAATTTAAATCAAAAGGTTACCCAATGCTATAATGGGTAAATTTTTCAAAGTACAATGTCCTAATAAAAAATAATTTGAAAGTACATTGCTGTAATAAGAAAAACTGAAAGTACAATGCTATAATAAAGAAATTTATGAAAGTAGATTGTTATTTTATGCATTTTGCCCAAAAAATAACAATTACTCCAAAAATTGAAAGATAAAATGGCTTATATAGCCAAATGAACCTTTTAATTTTCAAAGGGATCTCATCCTTCTCTTATATATCAATCTTCCTCTATCAATATATCAATTTCTAATCAATGTGGATACCCAAAATCTAACAACAATGCAAGAATTTTAAAATATTTAGTTTTAATGATGCTACCTCCTTATTTTCTAGTTTTCTTTTGTATTGGTATATTGATTTTTTATATAGGTAGCTTTTTTGCAAATAGAGCTTTCGCCAAAATGAACCAACCCATGATTTTAAAGGGTTAGCCAACATGAGCCAATGATATGAGTTTAAAGGAATAACCAAGAGAATCCAACCTCATCAGTTAAAAAACGACACTTCAACCCCCTCTCATATACTTATCATCAATTGTCAATCTTTCATCTCTCAAAAGATGAAGATGGTGTGTGAGTTTATTTGTTCTATTTACCGTATAAAATTTTATAGATACACAAACTCAACATCAATGTAAGAAATATATAATACTCAATTTTAAGGGAGTCACATAATTTCTTGTGGATATTACTTTTATATTTATAAAGATAACTTTTTTGCAAATAAAGGGTTGGCCAAAATGAACCAATCCCATGAGTTTGGAAGGTTAGCCAACATGAGCCAATTATATGAGTTTATAAGATTAGGCAAGAGAATCCAACCCATGAGTTAAAAGAAAGACACCCCAACCTCATCTCATATACCTACCAACAATTGTCAATTTTTCATTTCTCCATCAATGTGGTATACACAAAACTCAACTATCAGGATACTTAATCTAAACATAATGCAAGGATTTTAAAATATTTGGTTTTAATGATGCTACTTCATTATTTTCTAGTTTTCTTTTGTATTGATATATTGAATTTTTATATAGGTAACTTTTTTGCAAATAAAGGGTTCGTCAAAATGAACCAACCCATGACTTTAGAGGTTAGCCAACATGAACCAATGATATGCGTTTAAAGGATTAGCCAAGAGAATCCAACTCCATGAGTTAAAAAAAAAAAGACACCCCTCTCATGTATTTATCATCAATTGACAATCTTGTAGATACATAAACTCATTCTCAATGCAATAAATATATAATACTCAAGTCTTAGATGTCACATCATTTCTTTTGGATGTCACTTTTATATATATAAAGATTTTTTATAAAGATAACTTTTTTGCAAATAAGGGGTTGGCCAAAATAAACCAACACCATGAGTTTGGATGGTTAGCTAACATGAGCCAACATGAGCCAACAATATGAGTTCATAGGATTAACCATGAGAATCCAACTCATGAGTTAAAATAAAGACACCCCAACCTCATCTCATATAACTACCATCAATTGTTAATCTTTCATTTCACTATCAATGTAAGATACACAAAACTCAACATCAATGCAATAAATATAGAATACTCAATTCTTAGAATGTCACATTATTTCTTGTGAATCTTACTTTTATATATATATATCTAACTTTTATATATATATATATATATATAAATAGATTATTAATAAATAATTACAATAAATTTGGGTGGCATCTTGCCAAACAAATTGTCACGTTTTCTTTAAAGCGACATGTTTGAAATTATTGCTGTATGTTGAATAAATTGCATGTAAATGACAAGACAATAGATATAAATGTCATTGTCATTTTGGATTTTTTTGAACAAGATAAGATTCTATTATCATATAATCATATTTTTTTTTTATTAACCTGAATATTCAACCTGTTATACGAGTCAACTAATCATATATTTGTTTTAAATATATCATGTATATCATCGTTTAAATTTTAATTTAATTATATGATACAGATTATTAGTAGCAGTTAAAGACATCACATATTTGTCATCAAATTGTTTTTTTCTTCGTCTTTTCAAATCAGAAAATTGACCAAATCTAGGCCCCCCTCTATCATATTATCTCTTATAACCGGGTTTGGTCACAGACACAAATCCAAAAAAAAAAATTATAACACAATTTGACTATAAGAAATAATTTTTTTAATATTAGTTGGTTCTTTTTATAGAAAAGACTCATTTTTTAGTCCAGTC